CAGAGCAGAAATCAGTGCAATGGACACTAAAAACTATACCAAAAAAAAAAAAAATCAATGAAGCCAAGAGTTGGTTCTTTAAAAGAATAAACAAAATTTACAAACCCTTAGCCAACCTTATCAAAAATAGGCCCAAATTCATGCAATTAAGAATGAAAAGGGTGAGCTGGGCATAGTGGCTCATGCCTGTAATCCCAGCACTAGGGAGGCTGAGGCAGGAAGATCGCTGTGAGTTCGAGACCAGCCTGGGCTACATAGCGAGTTCCAGGTCAGTCTCAACTACATAGTGAGACCCTGTCTCAAAAAACAAAACAAAACAAACAAAAAACAAAAGAATGAAAAGGGTGAAATTACAATGGACCCAACAGAAATCCAGAGGATCATCAATACCTACTTCAACAACCTAAATGCCAATAGGATGGAAAACACAGAAGAAATGGACAGATTTCTAGTTACATATGAATTACCAAAGTTGAACAAAAAAGACCTAAAATTCTAAATAACCAATATCAGTCAATAAAATTGAAAACATAATTAAAAATTTACCAACTAAGAAAAGCCCTGGCACTGATGGATAATTCTACAGACATTTAGAGAGGAACTACTGCCACTACTGTTTAAACTCTTCAATGAAATTGAAAGGGAAGCAATATTTCCAATTTTATTCCTGAAAGCAAGCATCACCTTGATCCCCAAAGCAGAGAAACACCCAACCGAAAAAGAAAACTATAGGCCGAAATCACTAATGAACATAGATGCAAAAATCTTTAATAAGATACTGGCAAATAGAATGCAGAAGATCATCAAGAAGATTATACACTCTGACCAAGTGGGATTCCTCCCAGAGTGGCAGGGATGGTTCAAGATATGCAAATCAATAAACATAATACACTATATTAATAGAGCCAAGGAGAAACACCATATGATCATCTCAATAGATGCAGAAAAAGCATTCAACAAAATCCAGCATGCATTCATGATAAAAACCCTACAAAAAAACTAGAATAGATGGTATCTACCTCAATCTGATAAAAGCCATCTATGAAAAACTGACAGATAATATCACACTAAATGGTCAAAAAATGAAATCCTTCACACTAAAATCAGGAACAAGACAAGGATGTCCACTATCACCACTCCTGTTCAATATAGTTTTTGAAACACTAGCCAAGAAATTAGACAAGAGAAATAAATAAAAGGAATACAGATAGGAAATGAAGTTAAATTGTCATTATTTGAAGATTACATGATACTCTATATAGAAGACCCCACGAACTCCACTAGAAGGCTTCTAGATTTAATAACCAAATTCAGTAAAGTAGCTGGATACAAAGTCAACACACAAAAATCAATAGCTTTCCTGTACATGAACAACAGATTCCCCAAGAGAGAAATGAGGTAAACAACATTTCACAATAGCTTCCAAAAAATTGAAATACCTAGGAATCAACCTAATGAAAGAAATCAAAGACCTCTACTCTGAAAACTATAGCACTCTGGAAAAAAAAAGACTTTGAAGACAATATCAGAAAATGGAAAGACATCCCTTGCTTCTAGGTAGGAAGAACCAACATAGTGAAAATAGCCATACTTCCAAACTATATATGTTCAATGTATTCCCAGTTGAAATTCCATCAGCATACTTCACAGACCTTGAGAAAAATAAAAAAATTCATTTGGAACAAGAAGAGACATAGAATAGCAAAAGCAATTCTAGGCAATAAGGACAAGGTACCGGGTAGCACAATCCCCACCTTGAAACTATACTACAAAGCTACTGTGACAAAACAGCATGGTACTGGCAAAGAATCAAACCTAAAGACCAGTGGAATAGACTAGATGCAGAAACAACTCCAGACACACTCAGCCACCTCATCTTTGACAAAGGAGCCAAACACCCTCACTGGAGAAAAGATAGCCTCTTTAATAAATGGTGCTGGAAAAACTGGGTTACAATGTGCCAAAGATTAAAACTAGACCTATGGGGCCGGGGATTTAGCTCAGTGGTTCTACCATCGGCCTCACAAGCACAAGTTCCCGAGTTCAATCCCCAATGCCAAAAAACAAAACAAAATAAGACCTATATCTCTCACCATGCACAAAACTAAAATTGAAATGGATTAAAGATCTAAATATTAAAACAGAAACACTAAATGGCTGGAAGGGAGGTTAGGTAGAACTCTTAAAGACATTGGTATAGAAAAAGATTTTATGAACAAAACTTCAGTTTCAGTTACATGCAAACTAGCACAAAGAATCAACAAGTGAGATGTCTTTATTAAAAAGCTTCTGCACAGCAAGAGAAAACACCTACAGTGTGAAGAGACAACCCACAATGTGGGAAAAAATTTTTCTCCAGCTCTTCCTCAGACAGAGGTCTACTATCTAGAATATATAAAGAACTTAAAAAATCAGATTTCCCAAATATAAAGACCCAATTAAAAAATGGGCATCTGAAGTGAGCAGAGATTTCTCAGACAAAGAAATAGAAATAGAATAGCAAATAAACATGAATAAACATGAAAAAAACATTGCTGGTCATTTGAGAGATGCAAATGAAAACACTCAGATTCCACCTCACCCCAGAAAGAATGGCTGCTATCATGAAATCAACCAATAACAAATGCTGGTGGGGCTGTGGGGAAAGAGGAACCCTGCTCCCCTGCTGCTGGGAGTGCAGACTGGTGCAACCACTGTGGAAATCAGTATGCAGATACCTCAAAGAACTAGGATTAGTGGTCCCATTTGACCCAGCTACTCCTCTGCTGGATATCTTTCCAAAAGAATTAAAAGAATCATACCATAGTGATATATGTGCTCCCATGCTCATAGCTACACAGTTTGTGATAGCTAAAACTTGAAAGCAACCCAATTGTCCATCAGCAGGAGACTGGATAAAGAAGATGTGTTTTGTTTTGTTTTGTTTCTAAAATGGTCTACTACTCAGCCATAAAGAATGAGAAACTAGAAACATTTATAGCTAAATGTAGGCACATTGAGGTGATACTCTTAAATGAAATAAATAGGACACGTGTAAACAGCACATAGTTTCTCTGGTGAGAGAAACTGAAAGTGTAAATAAGGACTAAAAAGTATAATAGATAATGTGAAAGAGGAAGAAAAGGGATAAGGGAAAGGTGAAGTTGGAGGGGTAGGGAAAGGAAAGAAGCCAATGGCATTAATATGAGAAAATGAAAACAGTCTTTAAATAGGGAGGGGTGGAGGGGTGAAAGGAGGGCGGGAGAATGAGGAAAAAAATAAGAACCGAAATCGATTACACAAGGGTACAAATTTCCAGTGATGAATGTCATTACATTGCACACCTAAAATGTACCAGTAAAATTCATTTTTAAAAAAACCGAGCTGTTAACCTTGGTAAGATCCACAGTTCAAACTCAGGGGTTCCATAAATGTAAATGGCAAAAAAAGTTGCATCTTTACTTACCTCTAACTGAAATTTAGCATAGTCTCTCATTATAAATGTAGGGGACAAACTATAACAATGTTGGCAGTACTTGTGTCTTCATCACCAGTGGAAATGGAAGATACTGCTTCACAGTTTTGCTAAAATCTCTAAGAATTATGTATGTTCATTATATTTTCAAAAATATTACTTGACCTGCTATTACATGTTTTTACCATGTTAGTAAAGAAACACATATTCTAATAGCACAATGTGGGGGGGGTGTCTGTGTGTGTGCTGGAGATAGAACCCAGGATCCCACACATGCTAAGCATGTTCTGTACCACCCACTATGTCTCTAGCCCCACAAATTTATGGGGCTGTTTCACCTTCTTTTGTTCTGAGACAAGGTTTCACTATGTTTCCCAGGATAGCCTTGAATTCCTGACCTCAAGCAGTCCTCCTGCCTCAGCCTCCCAAGAAACCATAGGCACTTGCCATCATGCTTAGCTTCAAGTTAGTCCAGAGTAGCTGTCTGTCATCTGTCTCTTACCCTTTCTTCAAATAAATTCTTTTACTTTTAAAAAATGAATTTTTTAAATCTCTAATAATTCTATTCAACATCAGTGTTTAATTGTAAGCATTTAAAACATACTTCTGAGGAAGGATTCTACCTCAACAGACTGCCAGAAGGATTGTGACATAAAAACAGATCAAGAAGCCAGGCGTGGTGTGCACATCTATAATACCAGTTCTCTGGAGGCTGAGGCAGGAGAATTGCTGTGAATTTAGGTCAGCCTGGGTTACATAGTAAGTTCATGGCCAGCCTGACCTCATTTCAAAAAACAAAAGAACAAACAAAATTAGGAACCCCTGATATTTTAATGTTTAATATCTAGCCCTTTGTGTCATTGCATATAATTTTACTTTATATATAATTATATATACACATATGTATACATTTACATGTATAGATATTATACACACACATACACACACACACACACACACACACACTTCTGTTTTTTATTCAGTAAATTACCTCCCCCAGTGTACATATCAAGTTTCTTAAAGTTCCTATGCTTGTTTTGTTAACTTTATCTAGAGTTCAGGTAATGTCTGTTGAAAAACTTTTTAAACAAACAAATATTCTTTTGGTCTCTCTGTTAACAGAAATGCTAACCTTGCTCTCAAAGTCAGAGGACTATAGATATTTTGAGAAAAAAAAATTGGTTCCTTATCAGAGACTTTCTGTTCCAAATTTGTTGTTTCGCTTCTTCAGTTCTTCAGTTCTCTGGGCCTGGTGTGGTTTTCCAGAACACGGGTTTCACTCAGCAGGTTTCCCTGTGAGCCTGGGGAGCACTGCACACAGGCTTGTTATGATGGTTTCTTAAGCTCGTCCTGTAGGGATGGAGACATTTGACTGGTTATTACCATTGCACTTCCAATTAATATGATTTTTTTCCTCTCTCAAGTGAATCAAAATAGGGTAACCACTTTTAATGACCATGGTAAATATTAGGTGGTAGTTTTGAAGGTGATAAGTGCAAGTTCCATAGGTTGGCACACTTTAAAGCTTTTAATTACTATTTTACAGGCTCATCAGTTAGCGTCCATGCAAGCACAGGCTTACAATGGGGGAAGCACCAACCCCGCATCTGCCAATAATGAGGAAGAAGAAGATGAAGAAGATGAATATGATTATGATTATGAATCCCTTTCTGATGGTAAGAGAACCAGAGCCCAGTACTGCGTGCAGGAAAATGCTTGAACGATTTTCCAGTTTTTCCCCCACAAACTAAGTCGAATCCATAAACCAACAATACAGATTGTTTTAACATTGAGAGTTTCTGAACCTCGTCACTTAGCAAGGACCAAGGGAGGAATAGGATTCTGTTAGCCACTACAGCCACAACTCAAGACGATGGTGTAGGAAGACACGGGGGTTGGGGGTTGCTAAATTGTGTTCCTAGAGGAAGAGATGAAATGATAGCAGAGGGACTCCGTTTTCTTCCTTTCAGTGTAGAATGCGGCTGAGGCTCCAAGGCAAGAATTTTAAACTGTGACTAAATCCTGTTTCCAGCACTACCTGCAGGGGGCAGTATCAAAACTCTGTGCTCCCACTGTTCCTCCATGGGCTCATATTCTGTCATCCTAGAGTACAGAGAAGAAGGGTGCCCCGGCACCCTTCCCTCCCTGGTTCTCAGATCACAAACAAGACATTTCTTTCTAGCCCTACCAATGAGAAAAAAACAGAAGTGATGGCTAATGACACAATACAGAAGAGCCATGTAAATGATGTTACCGCAGATTACTAGGAAGGGTTCTTCTCTGAGAACTTGGTTTCAAGTATATTTCATTTGCACTAAATTAGTATCATTTGCTGGGGTTTACCAAATGTTTTCTCCAGCAGCCTTGCTGATAGTAGACTGTTTCATTTTGGCAACTTCTGAAAGACAGCATCGTATTAATGAGAAAAATGTCAAGGTTCCCATTTATATAAACATGATGTGTTTAGAATATGTTTCTATATAGGCTAATACTTTTGTTAAATATGTAGGTATCTCTAGTTTGGCAACGATTTACCACTGGTGTTGAAGTAACTGAGCCATCCTTCTGCAAATTTCTGCTTCTTATGCTCATGAACCCTCATCACTGACAAGTCCAGTCTTTTTCTGCTTCTGATGGCTCTATCCATTTAATATTTGTTCTTCATTATAATTGATTGATTCATTACATTAACTAAAGGCCAATTTATTGACTTGAAACTCTATAACACAAGGGGCATATCTTAACAGATGATAAGAAGGACAAAATTAAAAGGAGTCAGGACAGTTTATTTGCAGTCTATTCCTCAAAAGTCATGGGAATGTGGATTTTTTTTATAGACTTATTCTTCCTTATGGATTTTACTACAATTGTGATAATGTCCTATAGAAAAACAAATTGGGGGCCAAGGATTTAGCTCAGTGGTTCGGCGGCCTGCCTTGCAAGTGCAAGGACCTGAGTTCAATCCCCAGTACCCCCCCAAAAAAAAAAGAAAAAAAGAAAAACAAATTGGTTCAGAACATGATAAGAAAATCACACTTAAGAAATCAACCAATCTATATGTCATTTGCCTCTAGAAGAAGTTAGTCCACTGGAAGACAAATTCACTCTCCATCATAAATTAATCTTGTACTTTCAAAACCAGGAAAAGAAGTGGCTTTTAAAAATAATTATTATTATAAATATTTTTGATTTGCAAATAACAAACCAGTGGGAAAGCTCTTCATGACTTATTTTCAGTTCGGAGAAAATTTCTAAGACAGTTGCATGCATTTTTTTTTAAAACCCATGTGTGCCAGACTGGGGTATCAGTAGACAATGGGACTGCTCCAGTGGTCTGTGATACTTGGGCAATGTCTTCTCACCACTCTCAGGCTTGGATCCCTTAAAAGGTAATGAGAAGTTCCTGTGCAGTGCTTGGTGATGCCCTCCCCCCACTTCTAGCACTAATATCCATGATCTGTGACAACTTAAAAAAGTCCACTACCACCACATGACTATTTCCCGTTTCAGTGAAGTCTCCTGACTGGCTGATTCCCAAACAATCCTTGCAGGTAGGCCATGCTTTATGGAAGTTTGTCCTCTGAAGGTATCCATAGGCTACTATTAAATAATTCTAGCCACAGAATTATTTCAAGAAACGCCAAAGGAAATTGCAAAGGAGGATCATATATTTTAGGGACTTTTACTGTTTTTTGGATCTTATACTTTTAATGAAATTTTATTTCATTGAATTTTATCCCCCAAACCTTATTTACCTTGATTAATTTTGACCACACACTAGAGCACAGGTTTGAATTTATAACAATGTAGGGATATTCTATGACAGTGCATGATTCTAACAAATTATTTTTAGCTATTTTAAATGAAGTCATAGTGGGAATAGAACAATAGTCAGTAACTTGAATACCCTTTTCTCTTTTTCTGTGGCAGATGTCCTTATTGCTTCCCCTGTTCCCAAAAGTCAGGAAGGTAAACACTATTTGAAGTAGGCTTCCCCATTTTAACTGCATGGATGTCACATTTTGTTTCCAGTTCCTTGGGCCTGACTATCATGAAGTTGTGACACTCTGTGAATACAAATGTTATGAAATGATCGGTCTCACTTACTTGTTGGCACCCTGCATGGCCCTGACTTGCTATAAAGATATTTTGGTCTAAGCATGTGTGGTCTGATGAGATAATAAATCTCACTTGAGAAATCAGCTTTCTTGTTTTTCATTTTAAAAGAGTATAATCATGATTTACTTCTAACACTTGTATACTCATTCTGAATAGAAATGCCAGTAAAAGCAAAGAATTAGATTATGTCATGATTAGATATATTATGTATGTTTTAATTACTATTAAGATTATCACTTAATAATCAACTATCTTGAAAAATTTACTTTCCAATTAATTATAATTGTGAAAACTTTACGTTGTACATAGCAGTCTGCACACACACACACACACACACAATGGTTTTGACATTTCTCAAGATAAAAGAAACATAGCTTCATTTCAAAGTAAGGATGACAAAATAACGTATGTATCATCTAAAAGTGCTTCAACCACTAAATCTTTCTGAAACTTGTGTGCCTTTAGCCTCTTGACACAAAATATCTCCCCTCAGATTTGCGCAGTTCCAGTCATCTGTATGAAAATTAGCATTCTTGTTTACCCTATGCCTATATGGAGCCAAAACAACTAGTAAATGAGTCAGTTAAACTGAAATCAAGTACATCAACCCAATTTTTGAAATTATGCTTCAAGCCATCATGTTGGCAAGATATAGCTGAAGCCTTAGACTTGCAGTTAAGTACAAATATCTGGATGTCCTCACAAGAATGTTCATGCAGCTCTTAACTGCAATTCTTTTTCACTGAAACCTGCTAACTCACTTTCAGACAACATTCTGGAAGACAGACCTGAAAATAAATCATGCAATGACAAGCTTCAGTTTGAGTACAATGAAGAAATCCCCAAGAGGATAAAGAAAGCAGATAACTCTGCTTACTACAAAGGGAAGGTAGGTAAATGGTTTATGTTAAGTGATACTTGGACCATGGTTCCCCTGTCATTTACAGGTATGATTCCACCTCCTCCCTGTCCTTTCTCTTCATTTTGCCTTACTGTCCCTTAATGCTAAAATCCACAGGGTGATAATATGGCCACTGGTAGAAGTTAGTCATTGATTCATCAACCGGTATCTACCAATGATATGTATGTGACAGGCCATCATACAGCGCAAAAGCTGGTCTAGGGATAGGAACAGACCTGTAAAGAAATGCAAAAAGCAGTGATCTCACTGTGTTGTCAAAGAATCAAGGACAGGCTCTTAAGAAAAATTATGCTTGAGAAGGAAATTTTAGCCAATTAAACAAGAACAGGGCATTCAATCAAACTAAGGGCCAGCCTGGTTTTTCAGGAAATTGCAAGAAGCTTTAAAAGCATTTGGGATCATGCCTTCACAGATAAATGGGGACAGACTGTGTTAACAGAGGAGTGACACCAAGAATACAAAGACTATTCCATGTGTAGTGGGTAATGGGACATGATAAGGGACATGAAGGATGAATTAGATTTGTCCCTTGACCTCAGAAAGCTCTTACTTCATGAAAGTGTTAGGGCACAAATGTGGATAAATACTGAGTGAGGAAAAGCACACTGATGACACCAAGGAAGTACAGGTAAAGGCCTTTAGAGATTCCAAAGTGAGCCACATACACCTTCTATGTAAAATTGTATCATTTTCTCATGGTAGGTTTATGACATGGAACTGGGAGAAGAATTTTATCTTCCTCACAATAAAAAAGAAAGCAGACAGATTGCACCAGAGCTTTCTGACCTGGTCATCTATTGCCAAGCAGTAAAATTTCCAGGTAAGAGTAGACGTGTTATAACATTCAAGGATACCAAATTATGAATGTTTTCTATTTATCTAATTGGGCATTGTAAACACTCCAAAGTAACTAAATGCTGTGGTCAAAATACTGGTTATAATGTCTTCTAATTTGCTTATAAACAATGACTACAATGCCTATTATAATTTCCTTTGATGCACATGTGGAAAAATGCCATTAAAGTTCATTTTTCAGACCCAACAATATTTTTAAATAAAAGTTAATAGAAATATTTATAATATCTAACAATTAAAATGTATTAAACATTTAAGTACCGGGTTTTATGCCAAGTATTTTACATAGCCATCTTTGACTATTCATAATAATTCTGTGAGGTTGATAATATTATCCCCATTTTTAAGTCAAACGACATCTGAGGTAAAGTAATTTTCCTGAGACTTCAGAACGCATCAGTTAAGATTCTTGTTTGACAAGTGTAAATATTGGCTTAAGCAAAGAAGAAGATTTACTGACTCATGTATGGAACAATGTAGAATGCTGACATACAAGTTGCAGCCTAACCCAGAGCATATGCTTTTTCTCTGCCTGGGTGTCACACGACAGCCAGTTTGTTGGCTTTATTCCCAGTGTGGTTGCAAGATAGCTGTAGCAGGCAAACACTTCATACTTCTAGACTCAGCTTTGATACAACGGTTTCTTCAGAACTTCCAGCAGTTTTATTATTTCTCACTGAGTTGTTTGCCTAAACCTTAAGCAATCGCTGCAGTTAGGGGATGTAGGGCTCTGACAACCCTGGGGCCTAAGTCATGGGCTCCATCCCTGAGGCTCCACCCAAACCACAAGGACCAAGGATAGCATTGTGGTAGGGGACAATGTGTTCCCATTTGGCCATTTCTAAAAGTACAGTGACTTATGGTGATGAGCCACTTCTTCAAAACAGTGTTCATTTCATTTAGTAAATGGTAGATCTATGATGCTGAAGCCTGTCTACTTCCAAAGTCCTGCTTGACTCACACACAAGGCTGCCCCTACTGTTAGGATATGTTGTTGGTGAGCTGACCCAATCATGTATCCCACAAGTAGGAGACCAAGAGGTAGAAAAGTCAAGAAAGGCTATAAATATATGGAAGTCAGAAAAAGTTATTTTCTCATATCAAGAAAAAAATTTACCTTTTATAAGGTTTCTGAGGACAGGAAAAAGCTTGAGCTGAAGGATCAGTCTGTGTACTTAGTCTGGAGAGGGAAGTGAAAATGCTAGCCTCCATCTTTTCAAGATGGTCCTAACTCAGGTCCTGGTTTCTAGAGCTTAGCTTAAGCACCTGTTCTCATATTATTCCTAGCCAATGGGACAGAGGTGTTGAATTAACTTAGAAAGTAGATAACAGTGACCTTTTCACACACACCGGGGCGGGGAGGATCATAAATAAATTTGTCTTAATTTTTAGTTTTTAAACAGCAACTGGTTTTTTTGTTTTGTTTTGTTTTGTTTTGTTTTGTTTTTTGACACCAAGGATCAAACTCAGGTCTTTGTGCTTGTGAGGCAGGCTGTAGAACCACTGAGCTCAATCCCGACCCAAACAGCAACTGTGTTTAAACTTGGCAGCTACTACTGCTTCTCTGCTAGCAAATGTTGTTGAAGAGGATATGCGTATACAAGTAGCAAGAAAGTTTTCAAAGAAATGCAAGAAGCTAGCATTTACATGTGGTTTTATTGAGAATGACATTATTGTCTTACTTGCGCACAGTGAAACTTTTTATGGTAGAAGGAAATCCTTTATCTATCAAGAGCATCATGGCTGGAATGGCCTCTGTGTTGAGGTCAAGTGTAAGGCTCAGACTGTCTTATTCTGTATAAATGCAGGTAGCAGTGCATATATGCAAACCATTTCACTGGCTTTGACTATTCTTGAGCACTGAGTAATTCGGAAGCACAGATATGTGAAGTTAGGTCTCTATACCATTAGAGAATTGTAGAAGGGTCCAGAAGTCATTTAGTCCAGCTTCTGACCTGAGGCACGGTAAGCATGTGGTTGTTTTGGCTTATTTTTAAAATCCCAAGTATGTTGCTTAAATGTTTATATAACATATTTTTATAAGTGTGATGCTGGAGTCACTGTTATGCTTCTTAAACATTTATTGTTGTCATAATTTTGATGTACATGAGGAAAATACCATAAAATGTTGATTTTGTTACTCCATTGATTTTAAGTTTGACAAGTTTAGTTAACAGGCTACATGGTCAATCTCAATATGTCTCACCTTTCACCATCCCAAGCTTCTTGTGAAACATGTGAAACACCCGCAGAGCAGCGAGGCATGCAAAATTCCTGTGGCTCAAAGCCCATGGAAGAAAACTGACTTCCTCATGGTTATAAACCTGTTCAGTGGCAGGGCAAGAGCCAGAAGGCAGGTGTCTCAGTTCTCAGTGCTGTGTTCTTTTTACTGCATTATCTGGCTTTATTAATGGCCAAGGAAGTAGCTGTTTTTCACATTTATATCTCCTATCTCATAGCATTTGGTTTTCAGTTATATGTAGTACTTACATCTTTCTGTTTTTTTTCTAATTCTAATATTAAAAAATGACATGGTATTTTTATCATAGCACCCTACTTACTTAGTTTCTGGATACTTCCCAGTGAGCTCCCCTGTATCCTCTATTCTTTTCAGGCTCCAACATACGCCATGGTCTTTCCCCCTGCTAGGCTTTTGCTTGGACAGTTTACTCAACCTGGCCCTTCTCCCTTTGCCACTGTCCATATTCCAAGGCCCAGGGTCCCTGTGAAGTATCTGAAACTCTTCAACTCATCATGATGTCTTCTATTTTGTAACTCCTTGCAGTTATAGGCATGTATTTGGACATCCCCTGTGTATCTAATTATTCCTCAATTAAGAGTATAGCCAAGAGAAATACTAGGTAGTAACCTGAGCTCTTAGCTCCCTGTTCTTTGTGACTTTGACCAAGGCAGAGTCCCTCTCTGAGGCTCAATTTTCTCATCCTAACACTGCTCTTAAACAGTACTCTATCCTGTCTTCTCTGATGATGTTCTTGGAAAGTGTATTTTCATCTTACAGAAAACTGTTATTCCTGCTTCAAATTAAGGAATTATTCTCCAACAGTACAATTACAGACAATAGGAATGGTTTGGAGACAACTCTGGCTTCATTGGAGTCTTTAAATCACTCTTCTTACACTGGAGCCAGGCCTGTGTGGTGTGCTTCATTTTCTCATCCAACAAATATGTACTAAGATCCTCTATGCACCAGGCATTATGCCAGGCTGATGGATCCAGGGAGTTCTTGGACCAGAAGTGAGAAAGAGAAGCCATGAAACTTCATTCTCATCTTAATATATTTCCTGTTGAATGCTCAGACTAACCGTATGAGTGTATTCCTATAATCACACCCATTCTGTAGATAAGTAGGAACTGAAGAACAGAGAAAGTAGAGCGTTAAGACTTGGCTCACACCAGAAGGAACTGAAACTCAGAAATATGATGCTAAAGCTTGGTTTTATAGCCATTCTTTCATCTCTCAAATTGAATAATTAGCCTTTGGTAACACTTTCTTTTCATACAGTTTTCCAGAATCTTGCAGAGGTAAATCAACTATAAGGGGGGGGGCATTTTTCCATTATTCTTCAATAAACATGTAATTCTTGTTGTCTTTACCTACCGAGATAAAAACTTTGCTATACCTTCCTACAGTAGTATTCACAGTGCTAAAAAAAATTCTATCATTTATACTTCTGAACTTGGTTGCAAGGAAGTAGTAGGACTTCAAAATAAACATTAACAGGGATGGAAAATGTTGAGCTCCCTTGCCTGTAGTTTTTGGCTTATTTATTTTCATTTTATGGGAACAGGCCTGTCAACTCTAAATGCATCTGGCTCTAGCAGAGGAAAAGAAAGGAAAAGCAGGAAGTGCATTTTTGGCAACAATCCGGGGAGAATGAGCCCAGGGGAGACAGCACCATTTAACAAAACATCTGGAAAAAGTAAGGTCACCTTCTTACAATATCTTTGGTTGATCCTGCATGCTGAATCATTCAGATATTTTGCCGCCTAAGCATCTCCTTTGAATTTGTAAAGTCTTTTTTTTATTTTCATGTATAAATGTTCATATTGTGTGGCATAAATATTTTTAACTGTTAATTTATATTTTTAACTCCCTAAAAATAACATTTAACTAAAGATATTCTAGCATCATTTGCTTCAAAAGTAAAAATTGGAAGCACCTTGGAACATTCTAGTGTTTCTTGGAACTGCATTCCTACCCAGAAGATATATCCATTTTATTTCTAATTACTTTTTATTGTGAAAGTAATAAATTCTCATAGTTAAAAGTTCACATAATACAGAATATTATTAAAATTCTTTTCCACTCAGTGTATTGATTCTACTTTACAGAGGTAACTACTGTTAAGTTTATTGTATTTTGTTCAAGAAAAACAGAATCCTTTTTAAGATAATCCAAATGGAATATAACTGACCATACTTGTATAACTTTTATTTACTTACTGTAAATTTTTAGAGCCTTCTATGTAAATGTGCTTACTGTAAATTTTCACACAGCTTTCTATACATTTATCTTATTATCTTTAATGCCTGTGTGATATTACATTGTGTGAATATGTTGCAATTTATTTGCCCACCTCATCACTGATAACATTTTAGTTGCTTCCTGTGGTGTGCGTGCATGCGTGTGTGTGTGTGTGTGTGTGTGTGTGTGTGTGTAGGTTTTATATCCTTATATATATATTATGGTGTATTTGTGCAAATATACCCAAGGGCAGATGAGATACTGAGGAGATGGACTTCCAGGCTTTTAATTTAAATCTATCCTGCTCCCCTCATTTTATTTTATTGTTATATTGTATTTTATGTTGGTCCTGAGGATCGAACCCAGGGCCTTGCTTATGCCAAGTACACTCTCTACCACTGAGCTGTACCCACCAACCTGTTGCCCTTACTTGAAAGCTCAGTAGCCACCATATTGTTTCAAGGTAATGAAGTAATGCCCAAGTGAAATGCAAGATGTATTCTGATGCACTCGTGTGTTGTGACTGTTTACGGGGTGTCATTTGTGTTTATGTCTCTACAATATTTAAAATTTTCTACACTAATCTGAGGCTGATCTCTTGCGGAGTTTAGATTCCTATGAAGGAAGTCGACAGACCTGGGAGGAATCTTCTTCCCCCCTCAACCCGACCACATCCCTCAGTGCTATCATTAGAACCCCCAAATGCTATCATATCTCATCGCTGAATGAAAATGCTGCCAAACGCCTGTGTCGCAGGTATTCTCAGAAACTGGTCCAGCACACCGCCTGTCAGCTGCTGAGGACTTACCCGGCTGCCACCCGCATTGACTCATCTAACCCCAACCCCCTCATATTCTGGCTCCATGGTATACAACTTGTGGCTCTCAACTACCAGACGGATGGTAATGGGTTTGCATCCTCATCTTGCTCTTTTGTATCTTGTATTTCAAAAACTGTGGTTCAACAGAAATTTGCAAAGGGCCTGTGTCCAGGATGGGACACAACATACGTGAGAGCAGAAATACAGAGAATGGAAAACAGAAGTGAATATGATGCTGAACTGTGCTCCTGATGTTTTGGAGTTAAGGTGGTAGAAAAGAAAAATGAAGGAGTATCTTAAAAAGGGAGGGCTGGGGATTTAGCTCAGTGGTTCTGCCATCTGCCTTGCAAGGGCAAGGACCTGAGTTTGATCCCTGGTACAAAAAAAAAGGCAGGGGGAGTCATGCTCTCTTTTTAAAACTTTCTTTTTCTCACATAGACTGCTTTTTACAGAATCATATGTGGTTTTTAAAGATCTTTTGGGACAAGGATTTCCTAGCATTGCTTACTGAATTTTTCTCTCTATGCAGTTGTTCTTGCCAGGCGTGGTGACATGCATCTGAGTTATAGGCAATGCAAAGGCTGAAGCAAGGACCACTTGAACCTAGTTCAACATACACGGGCAACACACGTGGTCCATGTCCCAAGCAAAAGGACAAAAAAATACTTTCAGGGATTGTAGCTCAGTGGTACAGTGCTTGCATAGCCTGTGTATGGCCTTGGGTATCGCAAAACAAAACAAAACCTAGTAGTGTCTCTCTAAACACAGTGCAAATTAAAACCATTTTAGCTTCTTTTCATTCCTTTGAAATCAAGATGGAGGGCCAGGGATTTAGCTCAGTGATTCCACCGCCTTCCTCGCAAGTGCAAGGTCATGAGTTCGATCCCCAGTACCAAAAGAAAAAAAAAAGAAAAATCAGGATAGAGAATACCAGTCGGCTATCCAAGGGGAATTAACAAAAGGAAAACAAGTACATGAATTGCATAAACAGGGAGAGTAATAGTCCTGTTTCTCTGCTGTCAGTGAGACTGACATGAGTCCTACAGCTCCAAAGTAAAAGTTTCCACTTATTGCATGCTCATATGGGCCAGACACTATGGTGACGTTTTACTCTTATTATCCATTTAATCTCAACAACCTGAAGAAGTAGTACCTTATGATCCTTACTTCTCAGATGAGCCAGACACAGCAAAAGTGTTCATTTGCTCAAGGTTGGGCTGGGTTTGTAGCTCAGTGGCACAACGCCTGTCTGGCAAGCATGAGGCCCTGAGTTCAATTCCCAGTACCAAAAAGGAAAAAAAAATTTTGTTCAATGTTGTTTAATTTCTTGTAATAATAAATTGAAGATCTCTAAGAATTCAAAGATCTCTAAGAATTTCCTACTTTGGTATGAAAGGGGGCAGCAGTTACAGAAGATGAGGAAAGAGTTGATTCGAAGTATTTCCTAGAAGCTCATTCAACAAAACAGTCTTCTCTGAACAGCTGAGCAATGGCAGCCCTTATCATCCCTTTCATGTGAACTGAATCTGATCCTAACTAAGCTTTCTGAACCAAAAAACCACAGCACAGCCTCATCGCCCGCAAAGGACAAAGCACAGCTTGAGCCCTGTGACCAGCTAGACATCTGGCACCACTACCCATAGACACAGAGATACCCGTCATGGTTTTTCTTGCCCCTATTGTATTTACTTTTTCCATTGAAATTCCCTAAGGTGATGCAGGTGATACTTACCATAGCACCTGGCACATAGAAAGCATTTCACAAATAACCTTCCGTGTGTTGCCAAGTTATGAAAACAGTATGATTTAGATCCGCACGTGGAAGTAATTACAGAATACTTTCTAAATTGTAAAAATTTTATTTTCCGTTTCTCTTTTAACCTTCATGAGTGGTTTGTGGGTTCACATCCCTTGGCCAGTCAGTACGCCTGTGTCCACTGGTGCCCATGGTTATTATAACACTGAAATATTTTAAGGACACTGAAATAACTAGCAGAATGGTTTTCTCCAGGAAACGGAAGTGCATTTGGTTCTGGATGTGCCTTTTCTCCTGAAGTGCCAAGACTGGGATAGACACACGGGCCCCACTAATGGCACAGGGAGCACTGGCTGAAGCGGATGCAGAGTTGCCACTTCTTGGGTCGCCCCTCAGTTTGGCAATATGTGCTGAGGTGCAGCTGGCCCTGCACTCGCCCCTGAAGGCTTTACACCTCTGGGAACCCAGCCCGAGGCTGATGTCTGTGTTGTGTGAGTCATCCTCAAGCTTTTCTGCACAGTCTTCCAACTCCGGGAGGAGTGCTGTTGTCTAGCCTTTTGTGACTCAATGCAGCCAGCCTCGGTTAAGCTAGATAGCATCAGGGTGGCCATCGGTAAAAATAGTCATTTCTGTAAACTAGGGTTAGAGTCTGTTCAATATCTTGCACATAGCAGATGCTCAATACATGCATGCTGCCATGAGCCAAAGCAGTATGTCCCTATCAGCCCCACTGCTATCTGAACCTGTGGTTCTTGATTTTTGGTCCAAAGCTCTTCCAGGTACTTAGTTTTGTGCATTGCAAAGCCAAGTACAGATAAGCAACAGCATTGAAATTGACATTTTTTAATTGTTGAAAATAATTCCTAAATTAGGAGTGCTTTGGCTTTCCATGACGCTCCCCATTTTGCTTCTAGACTCCCTGTGTGCCAAGGATCATCTGCCTTGCCATTTCCTGGGGTTCAGGGGTCTCTGATGCCCCAAATTGTTTTCTGTGAACATAGGTAGGCCATTTCTTTGCGAGTTTTCTGCTGACTCTGTCAACTCCAAGAAGGTCAGAAGTGATCCAGAACCAGCTTATAACAGGTCCACACTCAGTATAATCAATTCTCAACTTTGGAAACTGACCCAGGGCTGGTATGCAAACCTCTGGTTATTGTTGGCAACGGTCTCTCTGAATTCTTTCCATTTAGGGCAGAATGATTCCCACCTCATACACAGGACCTGCAAGTATGTAAACATGCAACCTCCACTGGAAGAAAAGCCTGTTTTCAAAAAAGTATTTGTTATGTTTTAGTGAACAATGGTTGTGCTTTTTATGATGCTATTCCAGTATACAAACATAAGGATAAATATGAGAATGGTGTTTCTCAATACAAGGTTTTCAAATGATGAGAAAACCATAGAGGCAATAGTCTCTTATTCTGCATTGATTCTTACATATTCATTCACTTAGGGATTAAAACAAAGGCTTTCAACCTATAGTCCCAGGTAAATTTCTAGGACCACTCCCAGGGAACAGTAAAAGGTCTAGATTTGGAGTCCCATTCTTATTTCAAAGCAAGCAACTCCATGTGGATCCGTTTTACATATTGGGTCACCAAGTGAAATCTTAGTTAAGAAAAGTGCCTTAAAGTTTTGGAAAGCTATTAGGATGGACACAGTGCCGGTGAGATTGGGCTACAAACCTGTTATAATCAATAAGGTGATACAAGTTAAGTATCCATTATCCAAAAAGCTTGGAAATAGAAGACTTTTGGACTCAGTGTTTTCTTATTTTGGAATATTTGCATATATATAATGAGATATCTTGAGGATGTGATCCAAACCTAGACACAGAGTTTATGTTTCATATGTACCTAATATCCATAGGTTGAAGACAGTTTTATATATTTTTAGTGTTCATGTGTTGGGCTCACAGCCCATCATTATGAGGTCAAGCATGGAATTTGCCATTTATGGTGTTAGATCGGTACTCTAAAAGTTTCATATTTTGGAGCATTTCAGATTTTCAGATTAGGGATCCTTGACATGTGTATAGCCATTTCACACTTACCCACCTCCTGTGAGCTAATTTGTTTCACTCTTTTTGCCATCCTAGCCATGTCTGCCTTTCTCTGTCAGGATGCAGGGAACAATCACTTACCCACCTCCTGTGAGCTAATTTGTTTCACTCTTTTTGCCATCCTAGCCATGTCTGCCTTTCTCTGTCAGGATGGCCAGGGAACAAATTTTCTGCCCTTGCAGGTGAGAGAACATGGCCTCAATGAATCAATCACATCAGTACTGGAGTGTGTGCCATGCATTTATATGACAGAGAAGGAAAGGTTGGGGCCCATAGAGCTGTCACATGTGTAAGACATCTTTCCCCAAGAATTCTACACACAGTCCTGGCCAAGCTCCAATACACAGAAGCAATTTCCACATAAGACTTAAAGAGTAGGAGCCAACTTCTTGTTGCTCCAAGGCTCTTACTACATTTTTCATTGATGTCGGTCCATGTAGCAAAGTTTGTTCTGCACATGGAAGGGATCTGTCAGAGGGAATGTGTGTCAGGTATGTCTCATAAACCTTTTGCTCATTTGGGGACTTTTTATACAGGCCTGAGCCATCAGATAAATACATAAGGTTGGAAGAGTCCAGAAACAGTGCAGGAATCCAGCCATTCATCATGTAACTGTGCCAAAGAAAATTTGGCCACAAAAGACTCAGGGCCTTTGTGAAGATTCCTAAAATTTATGATTGAGGGGATTGTGCACATGATGTGAATCATATGTGATGATTTTTTTTTCATATTTAACTACAATAGAAAAAGAAGAGGTAAAAGTAATTTATGGGTTGAAATTGAGAGTTCAAGAAAAAGCTGTTTTTCTGGTTATTCTTTCTTGTATAGTTAAGGTTTTACCTCTGGTTTAAAGTAGCAAGAATTGGCCCTATACCTGTCTGCGTGGTTTGGTGGTTGGATTTAAGAAAATGATATTATGCTGGGGATTTGGCTCAGTGGTTTCACTGCCTGCCTCACAAGCACAGGGGCCCGAGTTTGATCCCATTACCAAAAGAAAAAAGAAAATGACATTATTTCAAAATTCAATATAAAATGAGGTATTTTACAAGAACTTTCAGATGGATGAGGTAAATTTTTACTTGCTGGCTTAGGGTGGGAACGCTGGGCATTTCCATAGATGTTTCATATTTTGGAGCTTTTCAGATTAGGGATCTTTGACATGTGTATAGCCATTTCACACTTACCCACCTCTTGTGAGCTAATTTGTTTCACTCTTTTTGCCATCCTAGCCATGTCTGCCTTTCTCTGTTAGAATGTGCAGGGAACAAATTTTCTGCCTACGTATGTTCTGTGAGAGGAGAGGGATTATTTCTCTTGTTACCTGCTGTATCTCTGGTGCCTGACACAACCTGGCACATGGGCATTCATTCAGTTGCAAAGTTCTTTTCAACTTCAAATTTATGACACTTCAGCAAAAAAGTAACACGTAGTGTTGGTTTTCTTTGTTTTGCAGATCTCCCTTTACATTTAAATGCTGCTATGTTTGAGGCAAATGGTGGCTGTGGTTATGTTTTGAAGCCACCGGTTCTATGGGACAAGAACTGTCCCATGTATCACAAGTTTTCTCCACTGGAAAGAGATCTAGACAACCTGGAGCCTGCTGTCTATTCTTTAACTGTAAGTACAGCCTCTGTTGTCATAATGTACTGAGACATTAAAAAAGCTGTAATGTCATAGGTTGTGTGGATATAGTTCCCAGAAGAATGTCTTTCTCTCACAGAAAACAGCAGCTATGTTAGTATGCTGCTGTCAGGCACTGTGTTTTCCAGAGCCCAGTAGGTGGCCCTGTGAGATGCCTACCTCACCTGATATACTAATGAGGCATTCTGTCCTCCCAGAAGCCATGTAGTTGTAACTATTAGTACCCCTCCTTAACAGTTGAGCTTCTTGTTGGATCACCTCATCTTAAACTCCAACAAATTCCAAGATCAAACTTAGGCCAGTGTACAAAAGCAGGGAGGCATCTTTCCTGCTTCTGGTTTAGACTTTAAAGGGCCTTTCCTTTTCCTTTTAGTATGTAAATACCTTATTGTCAGAACCCCACATACTTTCCTTTAAAACAAAAGCCTGGTAGCTCTTCATTCAACTCTACTTCCCCATCCTTTCCCTTCCACTTAGCTAGCAGAGAAAAACGTCCGGGTGCAGATAGGAAGGAGCCAGAGATAAGGTCATCTCTCCATTTTAAATCTTGTACCCCTCTCTGCCTTTCTGAAGGAAGTCTGCTCATGACACCCCACATTCCTTGGATAACCCATGCACAGATTTCCTAACCATCCAAACTGATTTTTTTCTCTTTCTCTAAGACAGGACCAATTTAGCTAGTACAATTTAACGTGCTTGCAAAAGGCTATAAATTATGTTTGAGGGTGTACTGGGGATAGAACTCTGGACCTTGTACTTGCGAGGCAGGCAGCAGAACCACTGGAGCTAAATCCCCAGCCCAAAAGGCTATAAATTAAGAATTTTAACAATGTCCTTGACTTGCTACAAAGCTATTCAAGAAAGAATATTTGAAGTTGTATAATACATTCCTACTGACATTTTAAAGACAACTCTGTGGTTACATGGCATAAGATCTTTTATCTTTGAATTTCTGTGAGAAACTTAATTTCACCTTAATTGCTTAGTTTTGAAGGTACATGAAATTTTGACAGTTGAGAGGTTATAATTAAGTGAATGCTGCTAACAAAATAGGCTTTTCACTTGATTCCAGCCATATAATTACCTGATTATAATCACTTTATTTTTTAGCAGTTTCATTAATCATTTACCTGACTATTCTAGTGCTCTTTGTAGGCTCAGTAGTGAGGTACAGAGGTTGTCTTTGCTTCGTTTTCATTTTCCATGACCTTGATCCTTTTTTTCCCTCAGATTGTCTCTGGCCAAAATGTGTGCCCTAGTAACAGCACAGGAAGTCCATGCATTGAAGTTGACGTGCTGGGCATGTCCCTGGACAGCTGCCATTTCCGCACAAAACCTATCCATCGAAACACTCTGAACCCCATGTGGAGTGAACAGTTTCTGTTCCGTGTTCATTTTGAAGATCTTGTATTTCTTCGTTTTGCAGTTGTGGAAAACAACAGTTCGGCAGTAACTGCTCAGAGAATCATTCCACTCAAGGCTTTAAAACGAGGTAGAATGGAATTCCCAAATCACACCCACAGTACCCCTGGCATTTTTTTCCCCCTTGGTACAGAGGATCAAACTCAGGACCTTGCATTTGCCAGGCAGGTGCAGCTCCACTAAGCTACATCTCGGCCCCACCCCTGGTGTTTTTAAAACAGGGACTGAAGAAAGAAAAACAAAACAAAGGAAGAGGAGAGTTGGGGTGTGGAAGTGGCAAAAATGAGCCATGGCTGGAGGCAGTGCTTGGCGGAAGTCCAGGATTGGAAGCTGGGGGTTAGGTGTAGAGCAGGGATAAGATGGAGAATTCTGAGCAAAGGTGAGAGCTCTTGGCTTGTGGTTGGACTTTGTGTGGCACTCCAGGGATGTTTGCTTTTTGTATCTGGCCTGTGCATTGCTTTCAGACCTTGATGTGCATAGGAATTATCTGAGCTCTTGATAATAACAAGCAGATCTTGATTCAGTAGGTCTGGGGTAGGGCTTGAGAGTCTGCCTTTCTAACAAGTTCCCAAGGTGCTAACTATGCTAGCCTACCTTGAGTATCAAAGTTCTAAATTTGTATCTTCCCTTCTACAGCCACACTCAAACTGTCATCCTTTGAGCTCTAAAAACACATTACTTTCCTATTTCTTTTGGTAGTACACAGGTTGGAACCCTGAGGCACTCTACCACTGAGTTATATCCCCACCCCTTTCTGTGTGTTTTATTTTGAAGCACAGTCTCACTAAATAGACCAGGCAAGACTTGAACTCTTGATCCTCCTGCATTTGCCTTCCTCAGGGCCAGGATTATAGGCATGTGCCACCATGCCCAGCAGTTTGCTGCTTTTTATTCATTTCCTATTTCTCTTTACCCTGCGCACAGCTCCTGATCATTATATTCATTTGCTGGGTTTTCTATAAAAAATAGCACAAGAGAAATATATTTGCTCACAGTTTGGAAGACAAGAAAAGCAAAATCATAGTGTCAGCAGGTTTGGTCTCTTGAGAACTTGGTGTGGCCTCCTCACAGTGCCCTCATATGAGTTTAGTCTGTGTGTGCATATCTGGGGTCTCTGCGTCCTAATTTCCTACTTCTATAAGGATACCAGTCACATTGGATTAGGGCCTACCCACCCAGATAACCTTATTTTAACTTAATCACCTTGTTAAAGAGCCTATCTCCCACCGGACGTGGTGGTGCATGCCTGTAATCCCAGCACTCAGGAGGCTGAGGCAGGAGGATCACTGTGACTTCGAGACCAGCCTTGGCTACATAGTGAGTTCCAGGTCAGTCTCAATTACGTAGTGAGACCCTGCCTCAAAAAAAACAAAATAACAGCCTATCCCCAAACGTAGTCACCTTCTGAGATACTGGGTTTTAGAATTTCAACATATGAATGGGAGATGAGAGGTGGGTCATTCATAATTTCAACCTGTACCAGTTATATTACAGAAATATGAGAAAGGACAGAGAAGCAAAATAATGTTTTAAAAATTGTCCATCTTGTTGGGTGTGGTGGCATACAGTTGTAAACCCAGCACTCAGGAGAATGAGGTAGGAAAACTATTAGTTAAAAAACAAATTGAGCTACATAGCAAGTTCAAAACTTGCCTGGACTATTATAGCAAGACCCTGTCTCAAAAAAAAAAAAATCCATCTTTCTATGTGACAAATCTAATCACATTATGTGTATATCTTTTGCAGGCTTTATTTATATGCCCTGTAAATGGCACATGAATATATAAATGTTTTTAACAAGCTTCCCACTAATCTTATTTTGCAACTTAATGATTTTCATTTTCTAATCTATATAATGAGAAACTTTTCCTACTAATAATTATCCACCTGCCTTGCCAATTTTTTTTTCTGGTGCTGGGGACCAGCAGTGTAGCTACAGAAATAGCAATAATAGTAGCTGGCACTTGGCATTCATCAAGCACTTTATTTATATAACTCATTCGTTTCCCACATATCTATGCCCTTGAATTTTGACCAGCACCAGAAAAAACCCAGTGCCTTGCACAAGCTAGGCAAGCCCTCTGCCCCTGAGCTACGCCCGCTCCTTTACATTACCACTACGCATTCCATCTTATACTGACACATTCATGCTGTGACTTCTTTAACCCAATCCCCTGTTATTGGGATATTTTACCATTAAAGCCTCTCTAAGCTGGAATGTTAGCCCCTAGTGAAACAAAAATGGTAGATGTAATGGTATTAAAATTATTGTGTTTTCCTGCTATTTTGGAGGCTGTTTTTGCTTCTGTTTTTCCATTTGATTCTAAAGTGAAACAGCACTGGATTGAGTTAATTCCCACTGCGTGGCCCAAAACCCTCCCCAGAGGGCAGTGCTGTCCAATGAAAAGGTGCTTGGTGGTCATATGTCCATTGCCACCCACTGCCCTTTTTTTTCCGTACTGGGAATCAAACTTAGGGCCTCGTGCTTGCCAAGCAGGCACTGTACCACTGAGCTACATCTCTGGTACTCCACTGCCCATTTTTTCTACCTGTCATTCACGGATCTCCAGGGAGTATTCTTTGCAGAGAGGTGTCGCACATGGTTAACAGGCTTTCCCAATTCTTCATTATTCCAGGATATCGACATCTTCAACTGCGAAACCTTCACAATGAAGTCTTGGAAATCTCTAGTTTATTCATAAACAGCAGAAGAATGGAAGAAAATTCCTCTGGCAGTACCATGCCAGCCTCTTTGGTAATTAAGTTATGTTTTACTCAGCACATGTGCAGGGACTGTCATGCTGGAGGTGGGCTTTCTTGTGGTATCACAAAGTGGTCAGTAAGAGTCATTAAGTAGCTATGGAAATAGTAATGATAATAGCTGGCACTTGGCACTTATTAAGCACTTTACATATATAACACATTAGTTTCCCACATAAGATCCATGCCCTTGAATTTTGAGAACCACTGAATCAGAATTCACCTCACTAATACAGGGTAAGCAGCAAGAGTGGATGGAAACCAGTGCTGAGATGGCAAAAAAAAAAAAAAAAAAGTTTAAGAAATACTGTTTTAATTAATTGGTTAATTCCACTATATTTCTTCTTTAAAAATAAATCTGAAGGTGTTTCCAGTGATTTCCACCTTTACATGTTTAATCATCTGACTGGCCTGACACTTCAACATAGCTCTAATAAGCTTTGGAAAGATATCTGTGCTTACAGTGGCGCTGGCTTGGACAGCTTCCACCACCTCTTGCCAGCCTTGCTTTCTTCTCTGACCTTCTCTTGCCCTCACAAGTCAATTGCTTCTCTATGCTCCTGACCTTATTCTCTTGGATTTTCCTCCTCTTCCTCTTGTCACTCCACAGCAACTTTGGCTGCACATTTGTGCCTCCTGAGGAGCTTTAAAAACAAATCTTCATGACCATGGCACACACCATACCCATTAAACCAGCGTGCAGCAATCTCTGGAAGGGATGCCAAGTGATTCTAGTATTCCATCAAGGTTGAGAATAACACTTTGGTCCAGGTGCGGGTATCTGGCCTCCAACTGGTGCACAGGCTTCACAGACAGGCAGGGCTTCTTGCTACCAAACAGCAGGAATCAGATGGTTTTAGAGAGGCAAAGCAGGGCTTTATCCCCAGCTCTTGGCTGGTTGTGCTCAATGTCAATGAGCTGAAGATTCCACAAATGCCATGAGTTACACTTCTGAAACCAAATGGATGATGTCTTTTCCAACACCATTGCTCTGGCTCGGTGTCCTGCATTTCAGTTCATTTCATTTATGATGCTAGCCACCTGCAATCAGCATTGGCTCTCTTAAGATTACCCCTACTTCAGGTGCTAATCTCAACTCCCAGATTGTCACCAGCACTTCTGACTGGTGAGCTATAAATTCAAGAGGTTCCCACAGCACCCTAGGTTTAGTAATATACTAGAATGACACAGAACTCAGAAAAGTACTGTATTCTTATAAGTTATTGTAAAAGATCCAATTCAGGAATAGCCAAATAGAAAGGAGGCACACGACAGGGGAGGGGAGGGACTTCCATGCCCTCTCTATGCCACCCTCCCAGAACTTCTGCCTGTTCAACTCAAAGTTTTCTGAATCTAATCATGTAGGGTTTTATGAAAGTTTCATTATGTGGTTACTATTGGTTAAACTACTGGCTCAATCTCCACCCCTCTCCCTCCCTCAGGCCTGGCAGTGGTGCTGAAAGTTCCACTGTTGTAATCATGCCTTCTACTTTCTCAGCCACAGGTCAGCTCAAGGAATTGACTGGTGAGGGCAAGAGAAGGTCAGAGAACAAAACAAGGCTAGTTATACTTTTATCACTCCAGGGATTCCAAGGTTTTAAGGAGCTTTGTGCCAGGAGCCAGGAATGAAGACAAAATATCTGTTTTTTATTGTATTACACTATGCCTTCCTTGGGGCTCCTGGACACAGTGACTGCAGCCTTTGGTCAAGGTGGACAGCACTCTTGCCATTAACTGGACTTTATTCCAGACTTCTCATTCTTATGTCCCCCAGTTAAGGCTTGATAATTCTAGCCCATTTGTGTATTTCAGATCTATTTATCTCTGTCCATCCTTTTTTTTTCTTTTTCTTTTTTGTATAAGGGATTGAACTCGGGTCCTTGTGCTTGCAAGGCAGGTGGTGGACCACTGAGCTAAATCCCTGGCCTTCTGTCCATCCCTTCTACTTTGGCCCTCATTCATTCTCACCTGGCTAAGGCAGTGATTCATAATTGGTCTCTTTTCCTCTGGATTTGTCTTCCTCTCTCTTCTCTGAGGGCCTCCCAGACAGATCTATTTAAAACCTAAATGTGATTGTGCCATTTCTCATTAGAAACCTTTCTTTGGTCTTCCATTGCTTTTGGGGTAACTAAGTCGAATGCCTGAGTGTGACAAGGGCATGAGGTAAATGCATGTAAGTGGATAGGGCAGAAATTCCATGAAAGAGGAGAGCTGTTGGGTCATTTAGTTCAGATGACACCACTTTCAAGAAGATCTCTCTAGTTTCCTTCAAACAAGAAATAGGTCCTCTCCTCTAGATTTCCAAGGAACTTACCATGTTTCTTACAATTTTCCACTTACTCCTTTAGCTGTCTCATTCACTTGGGAGCCCTTGAGAATAAGGATAATTCCTTTTTGCTTCTAATTCTCCAGGACAAGGTATAATGTCTGACTCACTGTAAACCCTCCATAAATGATTTCATATTTAGAAGAAAGTTATACACCTATTCATCTCTTTCCAGCTGATATACAGTACTTTCCATGAGTTATTTGTGTGCTGGATGGTGAACTCTCTAAGGGCAGAGCATTGTATCATCTTCTATCCAATATCTAGCCCAGTCCCCTGAAGAGACATGGGACTCAGTAGATATTTTAGAATATCAGCTCATAAGTAAGGACTAACACGAATGTCAGATAATATCAGTCCCTAATTATTATTATTATTACTATTTTGGTACTGGGGATTGATCTCTGGACCTTGCATTTGTGAGGCAGGCCGTGGAACCACTGAGCTAAATCTCTGGCCTTTCAGTCCCTAATTATGATGAGAAGAAAGACACTATGGATTAAAATAAATTAATATTTTGGTGTGTTGCTCCTTACTAAGAACTATTAAGGAAGATGTCATTGTCTCCTCTATGCATTAGTATGCACCAGGTTATAAATGGCTTCTCTTTTGCATTGACATGTCCCTATACATATTTCTAAGTACCAACACGCCTGTATTATGTTATTTAGGATAAATAAAAATTATGTGATCTTCCTTGACAGATGTTTAATACAGAAGAAAGAAAATGTTTACAGACTCACAGAGTCACAGTGCATGGGGTCCCAGGTCCTGAGCCCTTTGCTGTTTTCACCATAAATGGAGGAACCAAAGCAAAGCAACTTCTCCAACAGGCAAGTCTCCTGAACTCATAGAATCCAATGGTTAGAAGAATACAACTTCTATTTTATGAATGTACATGTGTGTGTAAATGTGTGTGCAAGCATACATACATGAACATACATATACAAAAGTCTATGTTAATGGTATGCAGTTTGATTATTTAGAAATCTGTTATTCATCATCAAGACCCACCCTAAGAATGATCTGAGGGATCCTGGTATCACTAGACAAGCTACTTTAACCATAGAAAAGAATTTTTAACGTCCTTCAGCCACATAAAACAGAGGAATCTAGCAGCATAAAAACCAGAACTGATTCTCTAGCCATGTAAATTTTTCCCTCTCAGTCTAGACATGGGCTTCATCTTCCTTCTTAACACAGCATTTGTCAGTGGGAATTTGTCCATTAGCTGAATGAAGTCTGTTTGCCATCTGAGGAGTTGGCTCAGATTCCTGGAGCATCAGCATGGACCACATGGGCCAAGGCCACATCTCCTGCCTTTGTAGCCCAACATGGGAACCAATCCACCTTCCTTGGCACTTGATCTTGATCTTTGAGGTCCTGCCCTGTGGCAGTGCAAACAAGCATGACAATTCTGAAGTAAGAGAATGAGATTCCTTTACCTTAACCCCCTTTTGTTGGGCCACTTCTCTCTGGATCCCACTAGGAATCTTGGTGGCCTTCTGCAGACAGAATCATCATTCTTAAGAAGACTTTTAAGAGCTAGAGGTCCAGGAACAAAGCTCAACATTCAGAAGAGACAGCAGCTCCCCAGAGAAAAGGCTAGGCCACATGCAATTCCTCTTCTCTACCCGTGAGAAGCTCTATCCCTGCCTGACACCAGCCCTCATACCTTGCAGACTCTGATCTCTAACCTACTTTAGGACTCCTTCTCCTCCTCAAGAGTAAACCAGTGGGAGCAAGGGCCACAGGGAGGAACCCTGAACTCCCTTAGAAGTTAGGGTGCCTGAGAAAATGTAGCTGGGATCACATAATACATGGAGGAATTAAAAATGTACTGCATAATCATACATGAATATTAATGAACACTTCTGAAGACACGTCTTTAGGGGCAGGTCAGTATTTTCCCCAACATTTTGTAATTAACCAGGGTCATATAAAATGGCTTAGATGTCACATTTCACGGATTACTGACAGAAGCTACTGCCAAGGGCTTTAGAATTTTTTGGTAGGGGAGGTTGTTTATTTTTAACGAGGCAGTCTGTGAGTTTTACAATTCTTTATCATAAAGCACTGCTGAGGTCTTGTAAAATAAGGAAAACTTTCAACAGGCCAGCCATAAAAATAAGCCCCTTATTTTATGATCACCCCATGGAAATAATCAAAGAAGTCCTCAGGACTGAGGAGAGGCCCTGAGGATGATGGCCCTCTGGGTGAAGTGACAGTCCCAACTGAAGCGTTAAGTCCTGAATCATTCCTGAGTAGTGGTTCTTACTTAAACCAGTCCATTGACCTTGCCCCTATAGATTCAATAACGTTCCTGTTTGAAGGACTAGGGTAGAGGGATCAGAGCTTTGCGAGAATCTTCTGCTCCTACCATCCTCCACACATTACTTTCACCTTTTCCTCCTACTCAGAAAATGTTAACTCTGATCATTGGATCATTGGCAGGGGCCGTGTGAGCAAGGTGTTTGCTTAATGCAGGACAGGTGGTAGCAGCTTTCAGTCATCACCCAGCCACTTCTCACAGGCAACAAAAGGAGTCACTGTAACTGACCTTTACTTCCTTCAGGTTCAACCTTTTGTTAGTAATCTGTACAAGAAGAGTGGGAAACAGTATATCAGTAAAAGTAACTGTAATGATGTCTATTGTGTTCTCTTATGAGGCATGCTTTGTGTCTCAATCATAAACAGAAAAGATTGCTACTATTACTATTCCCTTTGTATATTTGGGAAAATTGAATCTCTAAGGTATTAACTATCTGTCAATACTTTGCAGACATGATAGGAAGTCTTAACAGCAAACCTCAGACCCAGGTCCATCTGGCTCCAGAGCCTGGTTTCGGCCATAAAATTTGTGCACAGTGGATAGCTAACAAAGAAAACAGCCTAGGGCTGAGGGATTTAGCTCAGTGGTGCCGCCACCTGCCTCGCAAGCGCAAGGACCTGACTTCGATCCCTGGTACCAAAAACAAAAACAAAACAAAAAGAAAAGAAAACAGCCCTTTAGGCACGCTGCCAGGAGTTTACTGACGAAAATTCCCAGAGACTTAGATCAGATGAGAATTCAGCCCTGTGAACCTTCCACAAGAAGATGATTATTTTCAATGTGAGAAAAAGATTTTGATTTTTTTTTGTTGTTGTTACCAGGGATCAAACTCAGGACCTTATGCTTGTGAGGCAGGCAGCTGAACCACTGAACTAAATCCCCAGCCCCTAGAAGATTATTTTAGTAAAAGCTGAATGAGGTCTTTTGCTCTCAGTCCTGTGCAGCAATATTACAAAGGGCTAAATTCATGGAGTGAGAAACCTAAAGGTTTTAATTCAGTAAGAGCTCTCATTCCAGTAGTGGGAAAATAGTTCTACTGTCTGGGGATTATGAATAAACTATGCTGTTTCCCAGAGTAGACATAAACAATCCTTTTTAGATATATGGGAATTCTTAGATCTTACAAAAAGAATTAAGCAAACTGCAGAGTAGTTTTCACATATAAATTGCATGTCAAACCTATCTGAACACCATGAAGCCTTGCTTTGATTGTTTTCATTTTGGTTGTACTTTTTTTTTTGGTTTTCTGAGACAGGGTCTTGCTATGTAGTTCACATTGGCCTTGAACTCACTATGTATTCCAGGCTGGCCTCAAATTCACAGCAATCCTCCTGCCTCAGCCTTCTGAGTGCAGGAATTACAGGCATGAGCCATGCCCAGCCATGAAAGCTTGTTTTGAATTTAAATTTGTACCCCACTTCCAGAGGTGTGCCTAAGTTTTGGGGGTTTTTTTGTTTTTGTTTTTGTTCTTTTGGTACTGGGGGTCAAAGGGAGGACCTTGTACTTGCAAGGTAGGTGGCAAAACCACTGAGCTAATTCCCCAGCTCTCAAGTGTACCTAAATTTGCCTTTGCTTTTCCTTTAGGTTCTGATGACTGAACAAGACACCAAATTATTCTCCACAGACTATTTTTTGATGGAAGAAAAGTATTTTATATCAAAAGAAAAGAATGAATGCAGGAAACAACCTTTCCAGAGAGTCATTGGTCCAGAAGAAGAGATCATGCAGATTTTAAGCAGCTGGTTTCCAGAAGAAGGTTACATGGGCAGGATTGTCTTAAAAACCCAGCAGGAAGTAAGTGCACATTGGAAGCAGCCTACACAGTATGTGATTAACCATCTTCCTACTCACCACCTCCCTTGTATCATGAACTTCTCATAATTACAACTTCGTTCTATTATTTTGGGGGGGTTCTATTATTCTTAATTGAGTGTAGGGAAATTATTTTATTCTTCTGTACATATCCAAAAGGTCATCTCTAAGTTACAGGCATTCAATTTGAAAATCATTCTTTATGAATTAAAGCGAACAATACGTTGAAGAATCACTGTGCTCTCCATCAGCTGTGGGTCCAGTGTTTTATTTGTACATTGCTGTGAGGCCACATTCCAGCAGCACCCACTTATCCATAAGGGACATGGTCCAGTTCCTTCAGTGGATGCTTGAAACCTCAGACAGAACCAAACCCCATACAAACATAAGCACTCATCAGATAACCAAGGTGACTCTTGAGAGACTAGCAGGTAGGTAATTCAGTATGGATATTCTGAGCAGAGAGACAATGAGTGGTTTGGGCAGGATAGAACAGGACAGCAAGAGACGTTATCGTGCTGCTCAGAACTGCCCTCATTTTAAAACTAACAAATTTACATCTGGAATTTTCCACTTAATATTTTTGGACCATGATTTTGAAGCCACAGAAAGCAAAGCCTTAGAAAGGGAGACTAAAGTATTGTTTAATGCAGTGGCTGTAGGTATTCTGCATTTTGAGTTTGGTTGCTTTCCTGTTAGTCCCTGTTACATTCTACCTAATGCAGACTGAGCATCTCTAACATTTTCAAGCCCTATATTGCATAACCATTTATAGCACTGAAAGTCTCAAACACTCACTATTTTGAATGATCTCGTGATTTAGTGGACACCATTGTACACATAACCTGTATAGTCTCTGCAAATATTCCAAAATCCAAAAAATTCCAAAATCTGAAAAACATCAGGTTCCAAGCATGTCAGATATGGGATACTTAACCTTTAGAAGATAAGTAAGTAAAGGCTTGGAAGTAAAATAATAGTGTTTCCTTTAAAATAGCCCATAGCTTCACATACAGTGAATAATCCTTCAGCCTTAGAATTAATAAAAATGTATATAATGTGCACTAATATTATAACAATCATCCCTTGGAAGATAAAAAAGCAACAACTGGGCCAGGGATTTAGCTCAGGGGCACCACCCTGCCTCACAAGCACAAAGTCCTGAGTTTGATTCCTGGTACCAAAAAAATCGACAACGGTCATGTCCAAATCAGAGCGCAAAGTCCTGAGTTTGATCTTTGGTACCAAAAAAATCAATAACAGTCATGTCCAAATTAGTTGGCTCCTCTTTTGACTTTGTGGTACACCTTTTTTTGTGAACATATTGGTAAGACCTCAAATAGTTTACTGCCATTTTAAAAATTGCTCCAACATAGACAATCAGGCCTTGTGATATGAGGATGATGAGGCAACTAAGCCAATTCAACAATTTGATTAAACACATTAAGTACCTAAGACTGGTAAAATGTGCCCTGGTGATCCATGCTTTCTGGGGCATAATGCAGATGATGGCCAACTTTTACCATCACATGTAGCTTTTTTTTTTTTTGTACCAGGGATCAAACTCTGATCCTTGCACTTGTGAGGCAGATGGTGGAACCACTGAGCTAAATCCCTGTCTTGCATATAGCTTTTCACTCTGATTACTTTGAACATCACCTGCAGCTGCGACATAACTCCAGCATCTCCACTGGGACCCAGACCACAGTCTTCCTTCCCTCTACTTGCCTCAAACCATAAAAGGACACATAAACTGAGTGCAGTTTATGCCAAGAAATTTAATTGTTTCCCAGGCTCCTCTCTCTGTCAGGTATATCAATTGCTAAGAGAGAACAAACAGTTCTACTGATAGTCAATTTGTGAGAAATTGTATGAGGGCTCACCTGGACTTTTGAAGCATCTTTAATTTCGCTCTAGTTTTTCTTTTTTTTTTCCTAACTCACTTGTTAACTGTCTACTTATAAAAATCTTCTAAGTGACAGCGTCAATGAATAAATTAAAATTTTCAAACTACATTTGCATAATTATTTACAAAAGTGAAAACTCAAATATCAACTATTTTGAATGATTTCATGATGTAATGGAAACCATTTGACACATAACGAAATGGACTCAGAGGTTAAAAATCAAAGCCATATGTGGTTGCACTTGCCTATAATCCCAGAATTTATAAAGCTGAGGCAGGAGGATTGCAAGTTCAAGTCCCACTCACCTGGGCAATTTAGCATATATATCCCTGTCTCAAAATAAAAAGGACCAGGGATGTGGCTTAGTAGTTGAGAACCCCTGAATTTATTCCCCCTACTAAGAAAAAAAATAAGAGTAGTTAAAATTATGTCAGGGTCAGAAGTAGAAAGAACTTGAGTCTTACAGCTTCCAACTCAGTGTTCTATCCACAATCCTGTGCTGCCCAGGCTGAAATTATGTCAATCCTTGTAGATTATCCACCTCCAGCCCTGGAGGCAGTGAGCAGGCGGAAGGATGACTAAAGAGAGACTGGGAAGTTTAGGGTGCCTGTAGGCATTTGAAAGATTTATGAAACAACAGAATAAACGCTTTGAAAAAAAAGAATAGGTAAATTAGAAGGAAAGACTAACAAGCTTTTTCTAAATGATTAGAATACACCGAGTTCTCCTTGATAACACCTTTGTGGAGAAGAGATATTTGCAATGACTGAAAAATATCTCAAAAGGTAACAAATCAGTTAGTGTATTTAAATTTACCTAATGCATAGTGATTTATAATCAATGAATTGGCTGAAGCTGGGCATGTAGTTTAGTGGTTGAGTACAGGCTTAGCATGAGGGTCTCAAATTTAATCCCCAGCATGAAAAACAAAGAAAAAAGAAAACTAATTTACTGATTGAATATGTGACTTAAGCAATTATTGAATGCAAGATAACACTATCATAGTTGATGAATTTTGGTTTTAAGTATTTTCATTTGTTTATCCTGTGGAACTAATAAGATATGTAAGCAATTTGATGACAGAATCTATTAAAAGTTCCTTGGGTTGGGGATGTAACTCAGTAGTAGACCTTTTGCCTAATGATGCATGTGGCCTTGGGTTCCATCTCCAACACCACACACACACACACACACACAAATGTTTAAAGGTTCTCGGCTTGTTCTTTGGGATCTCAGATCTCTTCTGCCTACTATTCATACCTTTCTTATCTCCTGGGCTGTTAAGATACCAGGTACTACATCTTCCTATGGTTAATATGTCCCCATTTGACTGCACTGTTTGAAATGAGGTTACTAACCTGTCAGGTCTGTACTGCTTGTTGCTCCCCAAGAACACAGGAGACAATCTTTGGTGGAAAAGTTAAAGATTTGTTCAAAGGTAGCTGCAAAGGAGATGGAGGGCTCTCTTACTGTCTCAAATCTCCGTCTGACCTTGGTCAGGTAAGCAAGGACTTCTGTAGCAAAGAAGATACAGTGAGACAACAGCCAAACAAAGTTTTGCACTGTCTCCCCAACTCTTTCACTTAACCCCAGGCCGTCCTTGGTGCTCCTT